TGAACACGAAAGCTTAGCTGTCCCATCAGAGTTCGAGAGTTAGAAGATGAATGGTGAACAATATTCTTGCAGTACCGAAAGGCATTATGAACTGCGACCCCTTCTTCCTGAAGAAGGGAAAAATACGATGCTTCCTGTGTTTCCATTAAACATTTAACTCCGACTGGACCAAGAATTTTGCAGCAACAGCCTTACATTTGTAAGCGTACTCGTTTAGCAGTACAGCCTCAGCGCAAGACACATGCCTTCTACCCTTTCGTGATTCCGCTAAATACAGGCGTATCGTATTGAGTAGCATAAAGTGAAAGTGTGTGAGATACGGTAACCGCTCCAGGTATGCAATTACACGGGCTAACAGCGGCATTTTCAAACTCCACAGATATCTGTAAATCGTGACTCTTCTCCTTTCTCTCTTCCTCTTTCCTTCATTTCCCTCTTTCTTTCTGCCTTATCCTCCCCCCTTCGAAGGCTCAACCAGGAGACGCAACGAGAAGTAGCCGATTTTCAAATCGCGCATCAAGGACCAGCCTCTCATCTATCCCAGCACCTTGGCTAGGCAAAAAGCCTTTCCTACCCTTCAAGGAATCAGCTAGGATTGTGAAACTCCTCTCTTCTTGCAACTTCGAAATCTCAGTCGAAAGGTCTGACTAATTTGGATGAATATCCAAACAACCTGGTAAGGGCCCAACAGCTGGGACCTTTCCTAACCCTTTATAATAAAAACCAGTTTGGCTGGCCCACACTACTGCGCGCCTGACGTGATGCAATGCGGAGAGATTTACTTTAGTGAATCACGATTGATGACAATTTCTATTTATTTGAAATCCTAAAAAATTCGAAGTAAGGAATAAGAAAGAGTTGGGGGCTATCAGAAACCGCAACAGACCGAATGTCGTCCGGTGCACACTGTCGCATACATCAAACGGGGCTCCTACATAACTTACCCCCGACAGCTTATCCTCCCACTGTACACTGACCTCGATGACCTCTAACAGTCCTACAATTTTGAAGCAATATGTCTCAATTTTTTTCGATTGGAGATATTTCTCATTTTCCCCGTTTCACGCGCATTATATGCTCTCCCACCTCCCCCCGCTCGACAGTAAAAAAATGACTTTACCATACACTTAGCCTGCAATACCCAAACTAGAAGTGTAGTGGTAAAGAGGGAAGTGAAGGTAACCTCTTATCTATTCATATCAACTGATATACCGCCTCCCTCATGTCCATAAATGTCCATTATCACTGAACCTTTTAGGTAAGTTTGGGGAAATAAACCTACAAACTTGAAGAATACGGGCAGGCCAATACCTTTATTTAGCCCCTAATCAGTTGCTATCCCTCTATGTCACCCGTCACTAATATCCCTTTCACATCTCCTACATCACCTGTTGGTAGTGTGAACAACGTATACTGTGGTTCGCTGCGACGGCTGGGCGTGTCAGGCAGTATGAGTGTGCAGCGTGTCGGAGCCGTTCTCTCTGTATCTTGTTGAAGGGCGATTACGAAAAACTGGTAAAATCACGATTAAATACAAACGGTATGATAGCAGTCATTTCACGTTGCTCGCTGTAACAATGATGCGAGAAGGTTTTGCACCGCGCGCCAAACTCATCCTAAGGACACGCCGCAACCGGTCCGCAAATGATGAGGACTGTACTTAAGGCTGCTCTTTATTACATTGCGGCGCGTAGCGTATCCTTCCAGCTGTACGCCGCGGCAGTGCGAAGAAAGGATGATATCGATCTAGCTTCACAATGCGTCAACACAGCGGCACAAAGATGGCGTCTGCTAGCGAGCACGAACTAGCAGTTTACAATCACAAGCGACTAACAAGAAAAGGAGTCAGAGACTATGGGAGAGCTGGAGGTAAAGACACATCGATGCGCGTTCTCGTCACTCGGCCTTAGTTCTATAATGTCACCATCGCTCTGCCGTCTTCGACGGCCAACATAGTCTCTTACAATAAATCGCCTTCTGCGTCTCGACGCCCTTAGTCTCTACAATGCACATCGCTTCTGCGTCTCCGACGGCCACATAGTCTCTACTCCCTGCCGCTGCAAGCGCTAGCAAAACGCTGGTGCCGCTGGAGAAACGCTCGAGAAACGCTGGTGAAGCTAGATCGATATGCATCCTCTCTTCGGCACTGCCGCTGCGTACGCTGGAAAGCGCTTACTCCTACGCTGCCGAAAGTATACGGCAGCCTTAGCGGATTATATATGTAGGAAAGGTAGTAGTTTCGTTGAGGGAAGGATCTTGTTCTCCTTCTGACATTCAGCGTCCCAGCACCGTTGTGGAAACACAGCGGAGGAGGTCGTATTGGCCGCTGGGGAGAGGGGGCCCTCGAGAAAATTTGTTTAATAGTTTTTTTTTTCGTTTCACGCGCACATCATTGGCATAATCCCAATATTACGAGGTTCGTGTGTTCGCGTATGCGGCAGAGATGTCATCAAAGTGTTTGATTGCGCTACAAGTTAAACTTTTTTCTGAGAGGCGGTTTTTTTGTTTCATCGCGCGCTTATATATAGTTCTAGTTTCGCGATGCGAACGAAGGGCGTATCAGAGCGGCGGCATGGGTTGGCGCAAGTCGTACAGCCGCGAACAAGTAACAAGACTGTACCATATAGTTCGTATCACTCCCTTTTCTACGAATTGTTGTCGCACACTAGCTTGAAAACTGGCAGAAAAAAATTGGCGCCGTTGCACACTCATATACTGCCTGACATGCCCCTTCATTCCCAGCAGACTAGAGGATACTTCCCTGCAGTATACATCCCACTTAGAATTTTAGGAAGATACGTAGTGAAAGGAGATCGTACAAAAGGACGAAATTTAGAGCGAAGCGGAGGTGTACAGCTTGAACAGTATTGTCGACAGGCTACTAGCCGGCAAGTCCTCATAACACACCCATTCGCTGATTTTGTGTGAATTTTCATTTTTTTTGTTGCGAGACGAATACATGGCGCACGCCGAAAGGTTTTTTGTTTATTTTCACTCCTTTCAGGGAAGGCGCTGGCGCTCATTGCTGAAAGCGGCAAGTGTTTTTTTCACAATGCTGCGCTTCGCCGTGCGCCTGACCTCTAGTGTCTGCGTGGCGGTGACCACTTTTGACATCGTTGGACATCCGGCCGTCGTCACAGGAGCATCGATGTGGCCAACGCTTGAAGGCACTGATGCACGATGGTGGTATAGGGATTTCGTTTGGCTGTCTCCGTGGGGTATTCGTAGTCCACGTATTGGGGACGTTCTCACTTTTATGTAAGTCTTCTCCTGTGGTTGTTTTTTGGAATAAAAAAATATCAAGAAGTGGTTAACAGATCTCCTCGAGAACCTGATATGGTGCACATCAAGAGGGTGACGGCTGTCGAAGGCGATATCGTCAAGTGAGTCTCATTTCAGCCTTTCAAAATGTAGAATAATCTCGGCCTTTCAGGCCAAAACATCGAAATGAGCTCCTCCTCGTGCCGAAAGGCTGTTGTTGGATGGAAAGTGATAATCCAGTGAATGCCAACGACAGCAACATCTATGGCCCGGTGAGAACCTTATTTGCTCGCGAACTACAATTTTTTAGTACAGTAGCTTGATCCTTTAGCCTTCCGAGATTGTTAAAGACGTTTATTAGACTAACGTTTCGGCGAAAATCGCCTTCTTCGGAGTCCTGTAAAAGTCGAAAGCACATTATCGAAACACTTCGCCCAAAACCAACATCACTTACAAAAGAAAATCAAGGGTAGGGAATCAGGGAACGAAACCGTAACGGACCTACAACTCACCTCTTACTACATATGTGGAACTCTGCCGGGCACTCTGAGTCTAGAGACTGAGCGGTACTTTTATATGAGTTTCAGCTCAAAGTTCTGGTCAAAGGGGTCTAGGGACCATATGGCACTGTGGACATTGGGTCAAGGCCTGAAGGAAGAATTGCCAAGAGATATATGCCGAGATTAATTGAAAACCGGTCATGGGACATATTTTCAGTATTTGTTTTGAAATATTAGCGACACTGTCAACGTTATTACCCTCCAACTCAACAAATTTTTACTGAGTGATAGCTTCGCCCGTAAAGGCAATTCTGATGTCCTTACACTAGTATACCTTGTTTTTTGACAGGCCGGCACCATTGTGGACGGCAACGGACCAATTTGGCACATCGCTCTCGATCACCAAAATCGGTTCAAACTTGATAAAGGGGCGATTCGAAACCCTTATCACGAAAATGACATTCATTTTAGCCCTTGCGCCATTTAGCGTCACACCATTTTCCATCAAAATCGATAAAAACTTGCATAGTAAGGTTGTTTGGTGCCCTGTTTCCGAAAATGGCATTCTTTTCCCGTCACCAGCGAAATTCAGCGCTTTGCTTAGGCCGAACGTGGAGGAATCAGTGATCTCCTTCGGGCTAGGCTCAGCCCTAGCAGAGTACAGATGATCGTAGCGTCTTCCATGAGCGTCAGCGGCCAAGTAATGATGTCATAGCTGTAATCAGGAGTGAAAATTACTCGCGTACACATGTTGTCAACGTAGGGTACCTAGGGTACTTTGGCGCCAGGTTTTTTTCAGGTTTAGCGAATTGATATTCGTGTTCAGGACTTCAAACTACACCTGGGAAACAAGTTCTTAGCGATGTGATAATCATAGGTAGCTTAGCGCCCTCGGCGCCGTACCGCGGGCACCGGAATACCTTAGATTTCAGGTCGAGCGTGTGTTGATAGATAACTGTGAAAGTTGTTTATTGGAGTCGACTGCTCGGTTGTTCGCGGTAGAATGGTAAAATATTAGGTCATCCCATTCAAAGTGGCCGCTGGTTTTTTTGAATAAAACAAAGAGGAGAATAGATAGAAAAGTGATATTTTAGCTTTAGGATGAGTAAATCCCTCCTTCACCAATGACCCGCTCCCAGTGCCCCGAGGGCCTTTGGACCTCTGGTACCTTCGATTTTTCAACAAGTGTGAGTAAATTGCTGTTGTTGCCAATTTCGGCAAATGACAAAACATTGTAGCGTCTGCCGTCGAAGAGTACTCTCTACTGAATAGAACAGTTGTAATCGCATGGCTTTATGACGGGCGAATGGGACGATTGAACTCAGGTCTCAGTATTGTTTGTGTCCCAGCACTGATCTACAATACAGTTACTCGGGGTCTGGCACTATGACGAGCAACGGTGGCCTTCTTGTAGTTGTGTGGTAGCATCCATTTGTCGATCTGAATGCCGAGGAACAGGCAATATGCACCGACAGTGACGGATTTGTCCTCTGTATAGAGCCGCTTGAAAGCCACAGTGTGGGAATCTTTGTGAGTTTCGACTCGAGGTCCGAGACCACCCATATTTCATCTAGGGCCGGGGTGCGTTTTCACAGTTGTGAGTGACATCTCATGCTGAGAACATTACTGCTGGAGGTATAGAATCGGTACTGCATTCGTGCTTCTATAAGAAAATTGGTACCCATGCGCCACCCTCTTGACCATCCTCCGTTTATCGGACATAACTCGGGCAGCAGTTGCAGCTGGGATGTCAGACTCGCGGGGAAGCTCGACAAGGGTCCAGGCTCTGTGATCAGATATTCAGTGCCTGACTTCATCCACCCGTTTTTCTTGTGCAGGATGAATATTATGGGACCACCCACGACAACAAATTTTTTCCTTTCTTCCTTGTACGGGCTCCTGAACCAGATCTTCCACGTGATCCCTTACACACAACTATGGTCCGGCGCAGGTCAAATTTGAGCAGCGCACTTTCCTTTTATGACGTCTGATTTGAAAAACCGGCGCCGATTTTCACCACTCGGGCTTCTCTTCAATTTCTCGAGAACTTCTTCAGAGGCTAGGTTCGCCAAATTTCACAGATACACAGCTTAAGGTACTAGCTTCCAAATGGTATAGTAGCCCGCTGCTCTATCCCCTTTGCTTTTCTGCCATTCCTCTATATGTGTCGGCCACTTTGAATGGGATGAACTAATATAACGGGCTCTAACATCAGGCGGGGTCACGCCTGGTCTATCTAGTCTGCTTACCAAGGGTTTGACTAGATGACACTTATAATAATGAAGGTTCTGGAGTAATTCCAGAATAAGACGATGATATTCTTTCAGCCGGATCTGACCCTTTGAAAAAAGTCGATAAGAACATTTCTTTTGATGTGAACATGTGAGGCCTCCCAGTGACCGCCGAACGCGTGTAGCACGTTTTAGCGTCAAGCAGGCGCCAAGTGTTTTCGTACGGCGCCTAGCGTTTCGTGGTGACCTAGCGTGATAGTTGTGCCATCCTTTCCGCGTATTCTGATAGCTCTGCTTAAAGGCAGTTGGCACGATGGTTTCCTACTTAGCCTAAAATGCTAGTAGGGCGCTGTATAGTGGGAAATGGCGAAAGAACGGAGTGAAACGGTCAAAATCCTGCGAAGAAAAAGCCTCCGTTCTCAGTGACTTGTAAATCGATTTCGGACGAGTTTCCCGTAGGCATCTTACCAATCACCGCTACCGAAGATACGGCTGCATATGTGTACCCATATATGCATGCAGCATCACGGCCGCTTCATACCAATCCCTTCGCTTCATAATTTGCTTAGCAAATGAATGAATACGAGCGTCAGGAACGGTCGTCCATTTGTGGGCAGGCGGGCGTGGCGGCGTTCGGGACGTAATGTTGTGGCTTGATAGGACCCTAATGAGGGCACCTTCCCCGGGAAATGCATATTTGCAGTGCCTGCCCGGGTCGCGGAATTCTATCCTGCCAGAAGTATCGATCCTAGTCGCCTTGGGTGATTTATCGTGCCAACTGCCTTTAAGCACTGAACGCGCCCAGTATAAGTGCTTTGATAGTCGCGCACAGTTTTACTACTATTAGTGAGAACTGATAATAGCGTTCCTTAAATGTCGTCAATTATGGATCGAAAGCATTATCTAACCGTTTCAGGTTAGCCGAGGTCTTGTGAAGAATCGAGCCACTCATATCATCTGGCCTCCGAATAGGTGGAAACGATTATAGTATTCCCGAAAATAGGATGTTCTAGAAGAGACTCTATAGTTTATGTATATGAATGGGTAAACATGAAATGTACATAAAAAAATGCCAGCAATTCCTGTATAAATAGTTCACAAGCGACAAGCGTTGTTCACAACCTGAAAACGATACCTAGCACCGGGATTCGAGCTAATCACAACATTAATGATCGTACTCTCTACAATATAGTAATCTAAAATCTAGAATTAAACGGTCATGATTGGTGCTTATTTATGACAGCCAAGGTTTGTAAACGCAATTCTTCGTCGAGATCGTAATTCTCGACGGCCTCCCGTACATACGATCACA